AAAGCGAGAGCGCTAAAGACCGCCCCCGCGAGTTTGCGTACCTCGAGCCGCACCGTGACAGCCGCAGTGCAGATATGAGATCATGACGATTTGTACGTCACGAAACCGTCACTTCTACAAGCGTCACGTGATCAGCGCTTGCGGCGCACTTGGAACTTTCAGTTTTGGAATCGGATGATAGAAAGGGGAGAAATTGTAGACGGATATCTCCAAACCAGTTGCATTTTTTTTAATGTGTAAGTTGGTGTAGCCTCCGGGACGGCTGGCTTCAAAATTACAATTGCAACATGGTAAATAAAACCAATAAATAAAAAGTTAATGAACAGATTTTAGTTAATGACTCACCAGACTGTGACGGTTGTTCGTCTCTCGAATGTCCGCCGAGCTCAAGAAACACATAGTGAAGACGGCATTCACGTAGCAGTAAAGACGCCTTTTTTAAAAATCTGTTTCGAATAAAAATTAACACCCTGTATGGGACAAAGGGTATAAGAATACACCTTTTGACACCCCTTTTTCTTGAGAGTGTACTAAGACATAGAAAGTCACCACATCATTGATATATTATATACAATCCCTTCCAAAACCAAACATTAGGGTTTGTTCACCGCACATCCCACAGATCACCAGGGAATATCCTTTCACATCCGTAATACACAAAAGTGATAACACAGAAAGGATCCGAAACACATGGAGAGAGTGCCACGGAGAGGGGTACGGAGTAATAATAAATAAATAAGAATAAAATTACCCAGCTTTGATCTTAACAAAAATTGTGTTAAAAAAATTAATAAAAAGATTTAGGTTCGCGCGGTGGCAAGGCGATAGGTCCACACCGGGTGGAGAGTCAGACAAGGAAGTCGACGACACGTAAAAATAAAAAAATAAATAAAAAAATTAATAAAAACGGGAAAACTTAGCCGCACATGGCAAGAACAAACACCAACTCCTCCGGGCATTCACTAAACGAGACACAACCGAATGCGTGCAAACACGCTCTCTACTGCTCCGTCAGGCCGCTACGCCATGCCGAAATAAACCCAACAACTCAACAATGCTAACAAACAGTTAGTCATAAAACATAAAAAAAAGTTCAGCAGAACCGCACCCGAAAAACTAAGTTTAGCGGGGCGAAGGAGCACACACGAAATAAAAAAGTTTTAACTGACCCGCGCCGAGTCCAGTCCCACGACACTGAAGCCTGGCAAGATGACGGCGTCCAGATGATGCTCGAATCTATTCTTCACGCTGTTCCGCACAGCTACGACGGCTGTGCGGAACAGTGGCTGTGCGGAACAAAGTGAAGAATAGATTCGAGCAGCGATGCGCGAGGAGGTAACCTAGGCGTAACATGCCTCGAGCTTCATATAGGGAGAGGAGCTTTCGAGGTAGTTACTGCAGTTACTTAAATTTTCTCTTTCACCTTCTCCTTTTTTTCAAAAAGAACACGTCAGCCGGCGCTAACTTTTTCATCTCGAAGGCCACTCTTCACAAACGGTTATTGTTGACAAGAAGGCTGACTTCGCCCCAACTAGTCTCCGGGCAGAATAAACACAAGTATATTTACCAAACACACTCGCTTTTAATGTCAGTCTCCGGGCTTTACCGTTTCCAAAAGAGATAACCCTTAGGGGCTATCGGATCTCCGCGGAGAGAGATAGAGTACGGCCGTTTCAAGGGATAGGGCGCTCGAAGCTTGGGCGAACAAGCGGCATCGTTTCACGCGTGCACGGATGGCTGGTTTCAGAATTTCCCCACAGCCCCAATGAAAATGGCCCATCTTCGTGTGTGCGTCTGCTGGATATTTGTCCCGCGCCGCTGGTTTTGGCGCGCACGCGGCGTTGTTCTGGCCGGCAGAACTGTTGTTGACCGTCGATATTGTAAGGCTGCGGTTTCCTCATACTCCCAGGCGACAGTTCCTTTGCTTTCCCTTGTGCAATACACTGACTGACTGACTCCTCCTGGGTGGCCGTCACTGTTCGCCGCGGCCACGACACATTCGTACCATATCACTCCTCGTGACACCAGGGTGCGCTGCTCGCTTTACTGTCACGGGCCGTCCTATCTAACACAACGAACGAGAAAGGTCGTGGTCATCTGCTGGTTCCGAAAGGGCGGGACGTTCATGTAGGCCAATGAAGGCACCGAATCAATACAACGTCTGCCGATTTCTACACATTAAAAAGTTACGATGCCTGCTGGTGTGCTAAGAAGTGTTGCTTTCTCTTTTGAGCTCCGCCAATGTAGCTTGCCGCATATAATACAAGTTAAATAATCAATAAATATAACAGGGTGGAACAAGTGTATCTCATTTTTATGTGGGAACGTTGAAAAAAGGCAAAAATATATCCAAGTTTCTGAAGGCACGCAATTGGCAAGTCCATTTCAGCCGTAAAAACAAGTTTTTGTACATTATTGATGCTTAAATATAGAACATACAAACAAAATGCACACTTTCTCGACTTGTTTTTCGTGTAGACAACTATTATGTCCACATTTTAACAAAAAATGAAAAAAAAAATTAGTTTTTCGAGAAAATCGTTTTCAAAAATGGTACTTTTTGGTTTTCGCATAACATTAAGGTAAACGTCCCGCAAAGAATATTTCATACAGCCGAGTTATTTTATAATATATATAAAGAGCGTGTTTCGGGCATTCCGTGGACATCAAAAATATTAATGCAACCGAAGTAGATCGCCCGTATTTAATTGTGAAATTTTGCCAACAATTGACCGAGGGAGCGTTTTTTATCATTTTTACAGAAAAAAAAGCAAAAAGCCTAAAACTATTTTATGGTATTGGGGCCTTTTAAATGTGCTCCCAGAATGCTTAAAAAATGTAATTTAATGTGCCCTAAAAATCCACGGCGGGAGATCGAGCGAAACATCCGATCCACAACGAATGTGAAAAGCACTGCTTTCCGCCTCGGCCTCTTTTAAAATTCGTAAGTCGAGAACAAAAAATCCGACGAACTTGCGGTTTGTGGCTACTGCGTTTTTAGAGACGACGCCATAACATTTAGTTTTTTCAGGTAGATAAAAAATTCGACCCTTTTTGCCTGCACAATTTATTTTGAAATCACCCATATATATATATATGAAAAATAAACAATCACTGTTTTGAAGTACTCTAAGTACATGGTATTTAAAGTACTATTGTTTAGAAAACTTGTACTTTACTTGAAATACATTCGCTGGGCATAGACACGAGCTTTACTAAAGTATTTTTCTGGTAGTTAGAGGAAGGTAAAAATCCCGGCTTCACTGTAAACATTCCCCGACTTTGAGACCAAAAGCAAAACGGCGTATCGCCTTGCGAAAACGCGCTCTTTCGAGACGTCATCTCGTTATTTCTGTGAGTGAGATAATGGCAGCTATAAGTCCGACGCAAATAAGTGTTTTATAAGTTTTATAAGTTGATTCATTCAAATAGCTCCCCTCACCGACAGTAAAACAACTACTCTGTGGTGGCTTGTCTTAATTCAATATTTGCTGTCATTTCCGTAAAAGACTGATGCACCTCCGATTTCTCCTGGAGCAATGCATACCAGTTAAAACACCGTAAAGGGAATGAAAGGGCATCAGAGGATTATGTTAAAAGTACTTGTACTTTACCTTGAACTAAATATTGTATTTATAGTACGTTACTTCAAGTGCATTGCACGCGGTGTATTGACAACTTTGCTTGAAGTACATAACCTCTCATTTACTTCGTACTTTACTTGAAATACTTTTACAATGTACTTTAAGCAGCACTGTAAGCAAGGAAACACTGTCTAAAAAATCAAGCTCAGGAAGTGCTAAACCTCAAAGCAGAAATGATACAATCGCCATACAACATTGACAAAAAGAAGTACAAAACAAATAGGCAAGCAGACGCAGGACCATGCAGTTATTAAAGCATCTGTGAAAAAAACAAGACGATTTATATTTGGCTAGCACATTTATGCTATCGGATCAGAAACTGTTCTTTCTTGCTGCCACACAAAAAAACATGAAAAAAAAACTTTAAAAGTAATTCGATACTTTTTAGGGTAATTAGTAATTTTCTCAATTATTTTTCATTTGAGCAATGCTTACACTACTTATATTACTTTTGAGGTCAATACTCAGTAACTTAATTACTTCTTTGTACATGCCTGCTCCGAGTTGAGGGGATGAACGATGCTTATATTTCTCGAATTTTTTAGGCGAATGCCATTGCCTAGAGAGTAAAACAAAGGCAAGTTCATGCAGTTATTAACTTTAAAAAGTAATTTTAAGTAGTATTTAACGAAAGTAGAAAAATCTTATATGGCTCCATTGAGTCGCAGGGCAGCCGACCCTCTGATTCTATGGAGTTATCAAGAAGCTCGAAAGTGCATCCTCACCGTACCTGTTTTCCTTGTTGGTTTTCTATCACCTGCTGTATAAATTCCGCATATAAAAAAACGCAGGATTTCGGTGTATTCACTATGCCTGATTAGTTTACTCGGTGATAGCATGCCCACGAAAACGCTGAATTCCTTGAAGATGGTATACACATCCGTCGCCGCTTGACTGGCTGCGTCGGATTGCAGCGCAGGCTGCAGTCTGACCTAAAGTAAAACTTACTATAGCAGAAAGCATCGTTCTTACTGACCTCTCAATGTTTTACTTCAATCAATATGGGTCATATTCAAGGAATAAAAAATGGAGTTTTTTCACCGGAAAGAAATAATTCAGTGTTTTTTCTCGCTGCTTGCCTGTCTGCGTGTTCGCGGACGTGCGTTTACACTTAGGCACTCTTTTTTATATTTGTTTTGCTTGCAATATGACATCACGTGAGTGAAGGACAATGTGAGTTGTTGTAGGAAAGCTCAGTGAGCCGATTTACTCAAAAGAAAGCCGTGTTTTCCTCATTGTTAGCTTGATCAACATGTACGAAATGTCAATATTGATATGTTTCTAACATATTTTGAGAAACAATAGTAGTTAAAGCAATCCTTACTCTAAGAGTGTGAATTACATTATGTAAATCATTTTCAGATTTATTCCCGTCCTGATGACTGGATGTCACAGGTCAAGGATATTTGATGATCCTTGACTTCAAACGCCTTCGTCTGAAGGTACCAAACGCCCCGTCAGTCACTTAGCTCCAAATTAAGCAACCCAAACACTCTCTCGTCCAAGAGTTCACCTTGTCCAGCACAGCGATTCCTAAACGCTGCTGACAGCTTCCGTTTGTGAGTTTCCCATTCGGCTCCTGGAGTTAGCGGAAACCACGGGAGCATCCCCCTTGGTGCCTGTAGTCTCTTCTCCGGATGACGTATTGCATGTAACTGCGCCTGTGAACTGGCAGTGCACGAGGTCGTATCTTGGCGGCAAAGACGCCGTTCTGAAGATGGCCTTGGCAACGGCCGAAACCATAACCAGTGTGGCCAGACTGATGAGCATGGCAACCGTCTTGAACGGGAACAGCTGCAGCTGGGTTGTCTCGTCGAAGAACGGATAGCGGAACAGCGCCGGGAGCCCCAGCACGGGCTCGCCGCCTATGACCCTGAGGGCGAGCCCGACCAGGAAGGCTACGAGAGACCCGTAGGCGTTGCACAGCGACGGGAAGTGCACCACGGCAAGCAGTTGAGGGAACAGTATGACGTACACCGGATCGCCGATCAGGATTGAGAGACCGTACACCGAATCCACGGAGACGGCCATGGCTGACGACATCACGGCGGTCGCTGCGATGGAGGAGCGCAAGACCCAGACTTTCTCCGTTTCGGAAGCCTGCGCGAAAGGAAGGCGGAAGGTTTTTCCCGTCCTTGGTACATTTATGGACTTCATAATTGAGAGTTTTTGAATAAGGAGGTTTCACAAAATGCTTTACAACTTGCGGTAACACTCATCCCGCCATGTTAATGAACATCGTCCGCAACTCTCTCTGGTAATTGGCATGAAGACGCTGAGTTATTGTTGTCATTTTTGCTAATGTTAGAATTCGCAAGAACGGCTAGTAGCTTCATAGATTAACGAGTCTCTTAGTACGACCGTGGAGGTAATTAGGGCCGTACAATAAATTACTTGCATTTTTTTCTTGGCGGTATTTATTACGATTATTTTGTTCGCCACTGGTGTCGGCGTTCTCATAATTCACTAGTATTGAATCGGAATAAAAACTGGTACGAAGGTTTTTCGTGTTTTTTTTTTCTTTTTGAGCTTAAAAAGACTAGATCTAAAAAAGGCCATAAAAGATGTTAAGGGGCTAATCGAAACAATTGATCGGCAAATTATGTAAAATTAGTTTAAGACCTATTTGTTTAGCGAAAATGCAGATATAGTTCCAATAAGAACTTTACTGAGCGTCATCAAAACGCATGAAATCTGTAACTTAAAAAAAAAAAAAAAAAAACTTTGAGTGCGTTAGAACCGCAGTAGTGTGCAAAGGTTACCGCTCGTTAAACAAGAGCAAAGCTACGGGTCTTATGACGCGCCCGCACCATTTTTCTGTATGTCATAGTCCCAACTGTTTGGACGAGTGTTACCTCTGGTGCACTATTACTATTTCCTGGCGCTCAATGCATTTTACTTTCTTCTTTCTTTTTACTTTTTTTTTTCAAATATTACCCCGCATTACCCGAAGGTGGTACAGCAGAGGACGTGGGTGGAAAAAGGGGGGGGGGGGGGGGGTAGCAGGTTTGCAAGAAACACGTCTTCAATGGAAGTGTACACTGGCTCTTCAGACAGCCGGTTCCACTGTACAATGGTTTTGACAAAAAAACGAATCGCATAAAAGTTTGTCCGGGCTTGTCATTCTCTGACTTTCAAGGCATGATTATTCTGATGAGAAATATAATACGATTCTTTCAGATAATTTTCGCTATTCATTTCTCTTTTGTTAATAAATGTTGAAAATTACTTTATTCAATTATATTTTTCTGTTTTATCGAGAGGACACTGATTTCAAATTTAATTCATTTTTTATTTAAGTGACAGTCTCATTGCGCCCACTCTCCTGCTCAGTTTGCCTCAAAGGCAAACCGATCACCTCTATTATGTATTTTGTTATGAATCAGTGTTTCCTGATCAGTGTCCTATATGGCACAAGCATATTCTACAATCGGGATGACACGTGCAAGATCGGAAGTTTTTGTTAATGCAGCTTTTTGTGCCCTTTAAGGTTTTCTAAATAAAGTTCAGCGCCCTAACGACTTTAGCAATCACACCATCTACTCTAGCATTTCATCAACTATAAGTGGATAAAATAACACCTTGATACCTTTATGTCGTTTGCTTCCTTACTTGTATTGGTAGTGATGTAATACTCATTTTCAAGATTTTTTTTTTTGCAGAACATGGATGTCAACATTTCTCGCGCTTTAAATAAATTTTCCTCTCAGAACACCAGGTCTGAATACGGTCAAAAAATGTTCTAACTGAACTACATCACTCTCACTCTTAATTTTTTATAGATAACCCAATCATCAGTGAACAACCGTAAACAGGAAGAGATACCCTCTGAAATATAATTATTAAAGATTAAAGACAAAGGCGGTCCGAAGGCAGACCCCTGCGGAACCCCCAACGTGACGCCAACATAATTTGAAGTCCTGTCGTTCTAAATTACAGATTGTCTACGCTGGAAAAGATCATTTTCAACCCAAATGGGCACAGTCGTATCTACTCTTAACATTTGGAGTTTATGTAGAAGTAATTGGTGCGAGACCGTGAGAACGCCTTACAAAAAGAAAAAAAAAAAAGAAAACCTGTTTGCCCTTCCCCATGAAACTATACCTAGTAGTGATCAGATTCGACGACGTGTGATGTTTGAAATAACCTTTTGCGAAATCCGTGATGTTCTTTTATAACAAAAATGTTTTCTGTTATATGTTCAAAGTTCTCTGTCTATAAAATATGTTCTATGGTTTTCTGTGATATTGATGTTATTGAAATAGGCCTGTAATTTGCCACGCCTTCTTTCGAACCTCCTTTGTGAATAGGGACGAAGTTGGCGGCCTTCCAGTCATCTGGCAGTTGTCCCGTTGCTAGCAACTTGAAGTAAATTAATGATAAATGCGAAATCTGTCGTGCACATTTATTCATTCAATACAAGGGGTGAAATAACACCTGCATTATTTGCTTTTGTTTCATTGATATCCTTTAACAGCACTTTTCCAAATACATTAACTTCAACTGGCTTCATCAGCGGTATGGTACTTACGTGCATTAAACGATTCCAAGAGGGTTTTTGCAAGAAAGCGGAGCGTAAGTAAATATATAGTACCTGCATAATTTGATCTGCTCCCCTTTATATTTGGCCAAAAGAATTTGGAGTGTGTTTTAATTCTTTCGAAGCCTTTTCAAGCATTGTTGTTTTTCGAGTTTTATTTTCAATTCGTAAAAACGTGCTACATCAGATATTTCCTTTACATAATTTTTTTATTTTTTTTTATATTGCACAAACGTTCGTCTTTTTTAAATTATTCTCAGAATACGGGGATTCATCAATGGCTTCTTCCGTTTTTTAAGCTCATCAAAGTTCATACTTAGAATATTCATATTCGTGATATCAAGCAATTTCTTTTTGAGAACGCACCAGATATCATTAATACAGTGCGTCTCATAAAGACACTCAAACACTGGCTGCACGATAAGAATCTCAGTGGCAATGCTAAAATAATCACATTTCCTGTAAAAAATATGGTCGACTCACGTGACTTCAATTGTTTAAATGTTTTTTAAGCTTACAACAACAACCTAGTGATCACTTATACCTGGAATAATATTCACGGAGGTAACAAGGTTGGGCGAACTCCAAAACAAGATATCCAAGACATTGTTTATACAGTAGGCTCCTTCCTGCAATAAACCGAAAGTATGTAGAATATTTTTTTTTTATTTCAAGGTCCACGCGGCTGCTAACTTTCAGTGTACGTGCGTCTTCTAGCCAGCTTAGGTCTGGGAAGATCAAATCACCAGTGAGAATACTTGCCTGAACAAAGGCCTTCAGAACAACATTGTAGAGCGATTGTAACGTACTCAAGTTCGAATTCGGTGGTCAATAGAAAACCCAACATAATAACATGTATTATATAAGGAGCCTTTGTATCAAGTCGACTCAACTGCGACATGAAGAATATATAGTAGCGAAGTTCGTAAGGATTAATAAATTAGCAGAAACACTCTTCTACCAAGGCACGACCTGTCTTTTTAATCAGCAATGAAATCTTTCTGAAAGACTTCACTATCTTCAATACACGGGTTTAGCAATGTTTCTATTCCGAATACTATATCAGCCTTGACAGACTAAATAAAACCGGCAAGTTATTAAAATTTCTCTATAATGTAGTTTTGTCCTCTAAGAAATTGGAAATCACAAGTTCTTGTTACTAAATTGAGAACCAATGCACAACAGATTTGGGAGTATATATTGATTCATCACTGTCATTCAAAGAACAGGTTTCCAACAGCAGAAATGCTGCCTATTGGACGCTAGGTGTAAATTCGAAAAAAACGCGTGAATTTCCTTCGTGAGTTTGAATATTCATTTTGCATTTTTCATTAGTACGTAGCAAGCTCGAATTTCGTTTGGTTGTTTGGAAATGTATTGGTGGTGCAAAACAGGCAAAAATCGACAACGTGGAGAGACGTCTTTTTTTATTATTTATGATCGCTATATTGGCCGGAATGTTTATTATGAGTATAACACGCTTTTAAGACTATGTGGTTGTACCACACAAGGCTCGAGAAGACTTTAGCGCGATCTAAATTTTATTACATAACTGTGTTTGGTCGCATTGCTTGTTCAACCCAAACATCAGCTATCAATATACATGCATCGCGAGTGCTTTTTAGGGCAAATCCCTCTTTCTCAGTTAAAAAAAAAAAAAAACATTTTTAGTCCCATGAACTACATCAAACATTTTTATAACACGTTCTGTACAACCACCATCGCCATTTTCGACTCAAGTGTTCAAGCGTTTAGGTGTTCAATGGCTCATATTTAACTGTTACCCATTTCCTGTTCCCTCATAATAGATCTTATTTGTTGCAAGTGCCGTAGATTCCTTGTGTGTGCACTATTTGGATATGTGCATGATTACTTAGGCTACTCGCCGTTCAAAAGCAGGAAAAATGAATGAATGAATGAATGAATGAATTATAATTCTGCAGTTTCTAACAACAGCTACTAAATCACGACAACCACATTTTTTCTGTTTGCTCACGGTGTCGTCAGTGTTTCACTAGCGGAAAAACGGCTTCCATTTCCTTATCCCACGTGAAAGGTTTTTTCCCGTTAACAATGAGCTTCTCGATTTTTACCTCCAACCGACTTCTTTAGAAAGTCACGTGCGTATTATTAGAAGGCCGGAAGCACTGCACAATGGCAGTCTTGCCGAAGGGTGTTTATTCTTTTCCTTTTTCTTTTTAACTTTAGAGTTTTCCTTGAAATTTTCCTGATATTTTTGGTTTCAGGTGAATTGTCTTTATTGACGCTAAAGGGGGACCCTTTGAACCAATTAGCATGTGACAATACGTCCTTTTTTTATACTTCAAAACGTAAATAATAATTGGTTGTTTATACTTCACGTTGTAGCGACAAATACGGTGCACCCTTTCTATGGAGGTTATATTCCTCCCCAGGTTAGTTTTCCAATCGTTTTAATCAAGTCTCTCAATTGGTCCCACGCTTCTTAGCGGTTGTCGCCATATACTTCATGAAAGATTAGATCCTGCATTCGACATCTGTTCTCAAGGTCAACACTCTGGTTTTGCATATTTTTAACTTC